ATTGTTTTATTAAATTTATATTTTATAACATAACCAAAGTAAAGCGCGCGCTCTGATTGGTCAATTTAGCGTCCCCCATTTGCCCATGGGTGTACGCTGCTGACGTGAGCAAATGCAAAGACTATTTTTCCGCGCGCGCTTGTTTTTTTCTGGTCACGTAAGATTTGTTAAACAAAAGGGAACTCTTTAGCTACAATGTGTTAATGTTATGTTATAAAACAAATGGTAAACACCACAGCGTACACTATTGAGTTATGGATGCACGCGGGAGGTTGCTAAGCACGAAAGAAGCGTAAGAGTCGCTCGAGGCGATAGCCGAGAGCGACTCTAGCTTCTTGAGTGCTTAGCAAACCTCCCAAGTGCATCCATAACTCAATAGTGTACGCTGTGGTGTTTACCATTTGTTTTATAACATAACATTAACACATTGTAGCTAAAGAGTTCCCTTTTGTTTAACAAATCTTACGTGACCAGAAAAAAACAAGCGCGCGCGGAAAAATAGTCTCTGCATTTGCTCACGTCAGCAGCGTACACCCATGGGCAAATGGGGGACGCTAAATTGACCAATCAGAGCGCGCGCTTTACTTTGGTTATGTTATAAAGTCAAATAGGGCCTGACCTAACCTCCACACCAACAGTCAACTGTTTCAATATATTTTTGATGTTATGGTCGTTCGGTTTGATTTGTTCATTTATCCATTTATCTCTTTATTTATTTTTTGATGCTGTCTGCTATAAAAAAAAGCTTAGATGAGATATGATATTGAAAATGAGTCGCTTCTATGTAATTGTATTTCACACTGAGCATTAGAGTTAAAAAGGAAGGACCACCGAAGCTCTCGCAGACTGATTATCCAACCAACAGGCCAGTTAAATAACAAGGTTATCCTAATGAAAGGCTCACCAGAGAAATATACTGTCTTCACAGGTCTATTTCCATGCGATTGTACTCACTCTGATGGTTGTATTCTCCTCTGGTTAACTCCCGTAATAAAATATCCTCCATGTTTTCCTTCTTCTCTAGAGGCTCGTCTTGCATCATATTTTGAATTTGCATTCGACGTCTCTGCATTGCGGAGAATCTCCGCTTTTCAGCTCCTGTAAATTAAACACAAGTAATCCAATTTACTATTGTAGTCCACGATACATGAACCCTTTAAACCACACTTTTAAAGAGTTTTTGATTTTTCTTTTTTCCAAATTGAAATCATCATGTATTAAATGCGTCATCTGGTAGAAATCAAATCCGCACAAAAAAAAATTGAAAGGGGTGTTTGATAGTTATTCGAGCTGTAGTGATCAACATGCACCATCAACGTGGTTCTCGCTCTTTTTAGGTAGGTGGAATCCTACTAAGCCTGATTTACAGCCATTTGTTTGCAAGATGTAGGAGAAGCACATTGTGTTTTAATGTCCAAAGCATATAGAGAAAGGTTTATAAAATAAATACAATGCAGTATTTTCAAACTGTGGGTTCAGAACTAAGTTTCGTATCTCTACTAAAATGAGACTGATGCAAATCGTAAATTAGAGCAAGATGAAGTATCCGTTCTTTCTAAATTCTCGTCTTTCTTACATTAACACCACTCATTCAACTATTGACCATGAAATTTTCCAAAAATCAACGTGTTCTACAGTTCTAAAGAATGAGAATATGGGAAAGAATAATGTAAGCCAATAGTGATTATACTTAAAGCAGCCTATGCTTTTCGGCGAACTTCGATGCCCTAGTCAAAAATGCGGCGCGACCACATCAAATTTTTTTTTGTTTGTTTGTTTGGTTTTTTTATTTGACTTGTGCGACGGACTTCACCGAAAAGAAGGGAGCGCTCATAGTCTAAATACTAATCAGAGAAAAATTTCTTTTCACAACCTCAAATCTTATCCATATCTTAATCAAGAAACACATAAAAACGAAAAAAATGGCTTCCATTCAAACGCAATTCGGTATTTTCGAATTTACGTCACAGTCAAAGTCTGTTAACAGACCTTTCTGTGATCTCTTAGATGAACTTTTAAAAAAACAAGGTTGGCGTTTAACGAGAATATCTTTCAACATACTTTGCTTCCCCTAAAATTTTACGTACGCAATGTAGATTCCTCTGGAATCCCAATGTGGATTACCAATGTAGATTCTCTAGAGTTCCTAGGACCCACGATCTTCCCAAGAGAAAACAAATTTTGTCGTGCAAATAAACAACAGCTAAATACGAAAATGCATGTACCGAAAATATTATTTTTAACAATTATGCTTTTGACACTTCTGCTATGCCAGTAGGTTTGCAAGCTTTTACGTGGCGCCTTCTTTTGCTTTTAGATGTCTGTAGCGAGACCTATGAAAAATCATTTTGTCCAAGTCGGCGTTATTTTTTACGCCATTTTCTATACAGGGAAATCGTAAGGAATACAGAGCGTGTCTTGTCTGTAGTTAGAATAACAGCAAGTCTAATTAATTATTTACTTTCCATTTGACTGTATTTCACCTTTTTTAGCCTCAAGACTACGTAGAATGTACGTGCGCGAATAAGATTTATCGCCTAAACATATCATTCGCCGACAAAGGAGAGTTCCGTTCATAAAAATTCAATTTCTACGTCTCATCTCAAATTTAAGCTAAGAAGTCCGGAGATGTAGATTGATATATCTCACGCCAAAATTAGGAAAACTATTAAGTGAAATATGCTGACGGCTGAAATGACTAACTAAAATACAAAATGCTTCCTCTGCCATAACACAAGGTGAATATTTTTTAGTTCACGTTTAATAATAAATCAATCCTGTGGCTTTTTCTGTCTAAGACGTTGATAAATCGAACGTATCAAAAACATAACCCTTTGGCGTTCTTACATTAGCTTATGTGAAAACTTACAAAACATTATTATTAGTAGTATTTCGAACTGTCCTTTATTTGGTAGGGCAAAATTATAGGTCTACGCATGTATACAGCGAGAACTTTCCCATCTTTAGAAATACAAAAAGAAGTAAAATCTGATTTATTATGTTGAAAAAATCGTAGCACTTTCGTTGCAATTTAAGAATTTTATGACAGAATGAAGTTCATGTTGAAATAAGTTGGTGGTGAAATACAAAAGTGCTTGCTTGGTTGATAAATAAAAAAAAAGATCGTGATTAATTCTTTTCTTCGCTTAGGAAACTAAGAACTTAAAATTGCTCAAAACCACGCAAACCACTAGATTTGAAAACTATAGAAATTTGAGCCACGATTGTGGGGAATAATTTCCACAATTTAATGTTCACCACAAGAGTTGTAAGCATCAAAATTAACAGAGGAAAAAAAACAAAGAAGAAATAACAGGAAAAAATTTTAGCTTTTATTCTAAACTAATATTTTGCATCTCCTGCCTAGCGCTTGGTGAAAGCGAAATGCGCATGCCGAAAATATTCATCGACGTCTTTCGTTAAAACACTACGCTTTACAGACGGGAAATCTTTAGGAAATTTATATTTCGAGAGATATATCAATAGACATAAGAGGGATATGGGTCAAAAAGAAAAATGTTAAGCATGGAAACACGAAGGAAATTACAATCTCGATTTTCAATATCTCTGATGTGCGGTTCCCGGAGCAACCAGCAGGAGTTCACGGAAAGTATTGGTTGTCATTTTCGTCCTTTGAATTGAAAGTACTCCTGATGATTTCACACTTTTACGAAGGGTTCTATCGATTCTAGCAAACGATCGCTTTCAGAATGACACGTCCTTTCAACCTTACGATAAAATGATGTTGCACGCCACAATCAAACAAAAAAACATATGTTTTGGTTTCGAAACATACTAAATAAATGCGAGAAAACGTATTCGGTTGCTTCGTTGTGATAGTTTCTTATACCACCATGAAAGCGAAAAAGAAAAACACTAAAGTCGCTGGTTAAATTATTAACAAAATACGATTCTTCTCATCACAAAGCGCAGCACGGCAGCTGCATACAAAACTGATGCAAATGAACCCAAGAACTCAAAACATTTTGCCTCTATTTCCTGTCTTAACTGTAAAATACTGTAAAGTACCTTAGAAGCTTCACAAAAGTGCCTACGTAAGCCTACAAAGGGGACTTCTAACAACTGTTATGTTTCAGAGGGGGAAGGAGATCGGTTCTAATCAGTCGGGCAAAAACTAAAGATACAGCGACGGGATAAATCATGCATAAAGTTTACACTGAAGCCGTTCGCTGATATATTAGTAGAACGCAAATTCTCTTTCTCTAATTAAAACTAGCCAGTTCGCTTAGAAAAGGATTTGGGTTACAATAAAAAGTCTTGGGAATTATTCCAATCTTTTGATCGAGAAAAGGAGGTGAAATACGATGATCCCAACTTGGTTTGATCTTTGAGCGCGAATGAAATTAGAACACTGAGTAATAACTACTGTTTGTCTGTCTTTCAATCCCATATATCGACCGACATGTACTGTAAATTGTATTTCTTACCTGTATACTCAGCATAACCATCATCATACTGATTTTCGTCGTAAAATCCCTGTCCTAAGATTAAAAAAAGTCAAGCGTTAGAACTTTTCAATAAGTCGTGGACGAATTTGTGTAGGTAGGAGTTCATTGCATCTAGAATCAAACTACTTACCCGCTTTCAACGAAGACCTCTTTCCGAAAAACGCCTCGTCCGTTAAAACCGGCAACAGAATTGACCATGTGCATAACAACACAAACGAGATCCTAGCATCTCTCCACATAATTCTCTCCACGTCAAACGTCAAGAGAAAAGTTTTCAAAACAACTCTTTGCTCCCGTTTCACTCTTCTCGAAGTGTCTTCAACGCCTCATAAATTTACAAATTCCCTCTTTGATGCTAATTTTGATCCGAAGTCATTTGCATAACAAAACAGGAAAACAATCGGGACTGTTTGCCGTGTAAAGTCGATCGCCCGTGTTTCGAAGGAGCGGATCGCGGGTGAAACAATTTCGACAACAAACTACGCAATCTTTAGGGAGTTACATCACCGTTTCACCTTGTTTATTCCACAACCACAAAAATGGGCTTCATGCTTAGAACACTAACTTAACAATATTGCCGAGTGAAACTTTTATACTACTGATATTTGACGAAATGTATAAATTACGCTTGATTATAATCAAACTCAAAATGTGTCTAGGAGAAGCAGTTCAAGCAAATATGCCGCAAAGTTTGAACAGTCGCTCGTAGCTGCATTAGCAGTGACGTTTTCTCGTCGATAACATATTGTTAAACTTTGGCATTATTTGGGTAAAGAACAATGATTGAAGATGAACTATCACTGCAACCGGCAAAGCCGCGTCTCCAAAATACACCCGGAGACTTTCAGGAAAAGGAGAATTCGCTGCTCTTTATAACCAACTGGGAATACAAAAATAGTACAACATGAAAAAAATTAAAAATAGGGAAAATTTGCGGCTCTACTCTCTCAAGTTCATTGAATCACATCAAGATTGGTCAAAAATTTGATAACACCAGCGTGTATGTAAATCTTTTTTCTACAATATCTCATATTGGCGAACCCAAGATTAAGCCATTTTATCAATTTTTTTTTCCCTTGTTGGCCCATAATTGTTTACATTTCATCTTAAAGTTGGCAGTGGAAAAAATCATTTTCTATGTGAATCACTTCAAGCGGTATTAAAGTTTAAGAAATGAGTACAGTACTTGGTTTATTCTTAGGTTTGAAATCGTAACGATCAAAGAGAGGGATGTATTTTTCTCCTCATGCTGACAGAAACTGGTTTTCACTTCCCCAAAGGACTTGAAAGCAAGTGAAAATTTTATTCTAACTGCTCTAATTATAAGTCATCTTAAGCAGAGAAATCAGGCCTTTCATCTTGTAGATTTATTTATATACTGTCATTGTTCTCCTAGAAAATACGTTTTCATGCCGTGAAGTCATCAAAACGTCTCACTCTTTCTTAGCAGGAAGCAACATAAATCTTCGTTTCTTCGAAGAAAAAAAACAAGGAAAACCGGTTGTTCAACAAAACTGATACACAAGCTGAACATTTTCAAAGACGGTTTATTTTCTGTCCGCAAAAATAAAAAAGCATGATTCAATTTCAACGTATATATAAGAAAATAATGATAAAATGATGAAAACAATTCTTGCTAATTTTCAAGTTGGTGTGAGGTGTTGGATTACGTCATCAATATAGCGCATTAAGTTTTAATAAAAGATTTCATGGCACTCAGTCGACATCGAGGCAATACAACTGAGTAATAAATTACGGAATTAGATCAATTAAATTCAATGAACTGACCACCAATATAAGTTAACGACAATGACCGGTGCCACAAGGTTTTCCTGATTATTTTACTCCATAGGGAAACCGTAAATTAGGGCATAAATATACGCGAAGCTATTATTTACAACGGGTCATAAAACATTAACGGACAAATTCGCCTAAACCGTTTTTAATCGTAAAATTTGGTGTGAATCGTGGCTTACTTGGTAGTGTCAGTAACTTAATAGAAAGTAAAATCGAACGTGTGTGATTTTTCGTACCACACAGGAATAGAAATTCAGGCCATTTGCAGCTGGTTCGTAGCAAAATGTATTCGCCCTCCTACGAGCGTCTCCGTGCATGCGTGGGTGTAAACTCATTTTCGTTAATCCCACGTATGCCTTTACGCCCGTAAAATAATATCACACGTCAATCAATGGTTGCCCAAAATCTTCCGAAGGATCCTCTTCTTCCGTTTAATTAATCAAGCATAGATGAGGTATTGTGCTCGTCCTTTCTACAATGTGTGCTTCCACTGCCGGGAAACTCAGTATAATCGGTAAGATCGAACCTGCGAGCACTGTAAAAGAACTTATTTTCTACTTTTTTTCCCTAGGAAGTAAGGAAACAGAGACCAGCTAGAAAACTATTTTGTAAAAAATGAATACAGACTAATGCTTTGCGTCGGGGACAACAGACTAGTTGAAGTTGAAAAGTATTTTCAAAATTTCAAACATGTGCAAGACTAAATTTTTTTTCTCCAGTAAAATGTAAGCTGCATTGTGTGAGGTGCCAGCCTTCCTTTTCCCTCGTCTCTTAAGACAGCTCGTCGGGTGCTCCCTGGGAGGATTACAACGAGAAGAAGAGCTGCACTTGAGAATCACGAAAGAACGGAGCCTGAAACACTTGTGAGATGTTGCTAAGATTGCAATGATGACACGAAAAAGGGGAAGTAAAAGTCAGAAACGCTCTGACGACAATAGTAAAGAGCTTGCCTATTTATTCAAACAAACAACACAGCGAACCAAAGCATCACTTTCAAAAGCTGAATTTTCGTGTCTCTATGCGTAATCCTTTACCTTTCTTATTTCTCTTAAGGTTATTTTATGTTGATGACCAAAGGAAATGAAATCTAGAAAAGTGAAGTTGTCCAAATGAAAACAAAAATCATACAAGAAGCCGTTTTGTTTCTTGTCATTCATTCAGTGGATCATAGCACAAAGGCTGCATTGAGCAGAGCTATTTGCTAAAACATTGACTAGACTGGTTCTCCACCCAACCAAAGTAGCATTGAAATGATTTATTTTCCCAAAGTGAGTTAATTATGACAATAATAATAATAATGAGATAGAATGAATATATGAAGTTCATGTATTTTGAACTGCGGTATTAGATACGTATGATGCACGATCCTCGCAGTAGATAGCGCTATTTATGCAATAGCGAAAATCAGGCCTGTACGGGACTCGAACCACTGACTTCTGCGGTACTAGTGCAGCGCTCTACCAATTGAGCTCTACCAATTGAGCTAACTGGGAGCAGGCCGTTAAGTTGATTCGTTAAGTTGATACGAGATAGAATGAATATATGAAGTTCATATATTTTGAACTGCGGTATTAGATACGTATGATGCACGATCCTCGCAGTAGATAGCGCTATTTATGCAATAGCGAAAATCAGACCTGAAAAAAATCAGGCCTGTACGGGACTCGAACCACTGACTTCTGCGGTACTAGTGCAGCGCTCTACCAATTGAGCTCTACCAATTGAGCTAACTGGGAGCAGGCCGTTAAGTTGATTCGTTAAGTTGATACGAGATAGAATGAATATATGAAGTTCATATATTTTGAACTGCGGTATTAGATACGTATGATGCACGATCCTCGCAGTAGATAGCGCTATTTATGCAATAGCGAAAATCAGACCTGAAAAAAATCAGGCCTGTACGGGACTCGAACCACTGACCTCTGCGATACTAGTGCAGCGCTCTACCAATTGAGCTAACAAGCCAACTGGGAGCAGGCCNATATGAACTTCATATATTCATTGTATCTCATTTATCACTTTCACGGGTTTATTACGAATCAACTTAACGGCCTGCTCCCAGTTGGCTTGTTAGCTCAATTGGTAGAGCGCTGCACTAGTATCGCAGAGGTCAGTGGTTCGAGTCCCGTACAGGCCTGATTTTTTTCAGGTCTGATTTTCGCTATTGCATAAATAGCGCTATCTACTGCGAGGATCGTGCATCATACGTAAATAATAATTATAATAATAATGATGATGATGATGATAATGACAAAAGCAATCCTAATAAAAAAATGACAATGCCCATGACACTGCCAATGATTATAATGGTAATAACAATAATGGAAACTTTGAATGTACAATTTTAAATCTCATTACGTATAGGCAATTTACAAATGCTACTTGAGATTGGATTATTCAACACACACAAAAAAAAAACAAAGAAAAACAAAAAAGACAAAATAAAAAAAACAAAACAAAAAAATTAACAAAAAACAAAACAAAAAAAATTTCAAATAATGATGATGATAATAACAATAATAATAATAATAGTAATTATTATTAATAAAATAGAAAGGAATAGACAAGTAACAGGACCTGTACTGAACGATTAGAAATTGTAAGGGGATCATATGTTGCTCCTGTACATGTAATTGCTGGGCTCAAACCACTAAAGAAACGATTCACACATCTGATTAGAGGAATGAAAAGTTGAAGAGTCAAGGCAAAGAGGCCATAAGATGTGACTTGATGTAATTGGAAACTATCCAGCTAATCTATGATACTACCTCCAATAGTAATGATGATAAGAATATAATGATAATAGCTATAATAATAATAGTAATAATAATAGTAATAATAATAATAATAGTAACATTAATAATAATAATAACATTAATATCAATTATTTTAAACATTTGTAAATAATTAGATATATGGTTTAAAATTGTGAATAATTGCTATCATTACTACTAAACGAAGCCGGCCAATTTTTATCATAATTTTTGTAAACACTTTTAGTGATTATAGTGAATAATAGCAATAATGATAATAATAATAATAGTGATAGTAATAATAATGGTAATAATAATAATAATAATCTTTATTTAGCAATAATTTCCATAAAATCCTCTACAATACAAAATATTAACAGCGTATAAAACGATCCAAAATAACTCACTTTCGGCTCACATCTACTCCTTTTTTTTTAATGCCAAAGTGTCTGGAAAACTATAAATAACGGAGTCAAATCTGAACAGATTCAAAGCCTAATAATAATAACAGTTATAATAATAATAATAATAATAATAATAATAATAATAATAAAGAGAAGAACAACAAAGAAAGGAAGAGGAAGAATAGAAGAGGAAAATTAGTAACTTGAAAAAGGAGGGAAAACATTTTCATGCTGCAAACACAAAAAACCTTGCATCATGATTATAAATTATGCTAAAAAGAATAAAGTAGGTAAAAAGAAAAGGTAGATGAATGACACCTATAACATCCAAGCCAAGTGACTAACTGATTCTAAATTGAATAACTTATCGACCAACTAAATAATAAAGAATTTTGTGATAATATGTAATTTGTAGTCAAATAAAGAAGGTACAGTTTTTATATATTTGTTTTGTTTTTGTTTTTGTTTTTTTTTGTGACTAAGAACAAATATCCGTAATATAAGTGGCAATTTCTCTCTTTTCATGTTTACTGAAAACTTATCTACTGGTGAGTTTTCGTATATTTTTGAAAAGTGATTGAAAATCCCAAAGAAAAGACAATTGATTCGGAACTGAAGCTGTTCTTAACTATCTACGAGACTTTGGTGGAGCGCTGCATTAGTATCGCAGAGGTCAGTGGTTCGAGTCCCGTACAGGCCTGATTTTTTTCAGGTCTAATTTTCGCTATTGCATAAATAGCGCCCTCTACTGCGAGGATCGTGCATCATACCTACGAGACTTTATTGCACATTTAGCCTCCGTTACTGTTCTCCTTCAAGTAGTTTCAGCAAGCAGAGGGACTCAGATGTTAATGAGGCATGATAAGTGTAAACAACAAGCAGAGGGACTCAGATGTTAATGAGGCATGATGAGTGTAAACAACAAGCAGAGGGACTCAGATGTTAATGAGGCATGATGAGTGTAAACAACAAGCAGAGGGACTCAGATGTTAATGAGGCATGATGAGTGTAAACAACAAGCAGAGGGACTCAGATGTTAATGAGGCATGATGAGTGTAAACAACAAGCAGAGGGACTCAGATGTTAATGAGGCATGATGAGTGTAAACAACAAGCAGAGGGACTCAGATGTTAATGAGGCATGATGAGTGTAAACAACAAGCAGAGGGACTCAGATGTTAATGAGGGATGATGAGTGTAAACAACAAGCGCACAAGGTGGATAAATTTGCTCACCCCTTACTTTTTTCCCTCACGAAAACCGTCATTTAAAATGCGTCATCCTACGCATCTCATGTGCAAGTAAGAGGGAATGATATTATGATGTAAATGTGACGCAAATCCACCACTCCCCAATAAAAATGTCACGCATATAATGTTAGGCTGTAATGATTTACAAATAACAACGTTTTTCGGCTGCTCAATGGAGTTTCTATAATAAGATTCGAATGAATAAAGAAATAAAAATAAAAAATAAACTAACTGCCTGTTTCCTTTTCATTGTAGCAAATCTTTTGCAGGCCTTGAGCTGGTCTTTCCGCCGAAAATCGCCTTCAAAGGTCGCGATTAAATTCACAACTCTGCCCACAGAAAGAAGCTCAAAGAAAAAAAGGATCGTGTCTTACCTTGAGTTCTCTGTCGCAGAGACAAAGATGGCAAGAAAAACCGATTCGCCAAAGAAACTTGAGTCAAGTACACGAGCACGAGAATAATTGTGTTTACAGAGGTCATATTTATGGCTGATAGCTTGACTGGCTAAGAATCTTTATCCTCCACGGCAATCCAGGAAGAATTCTTGATAATTCGTGCCCTTCTGTGTTTTAACAACAAATTCACATAGCTTGGCATTCTTCGTCTATAAATTATCTTGCTTCACGGGCAAACATTGGTGGAATATATGTTACTGGCTAACAGGATTCAAAACACGCATGAAAGTAAAAGGCTTTCGAGCCAAGTTAATCATCAACGGTATTCAGATAGGTGTCAAATAACTTCAGCTTTCAGTATCCTAATAAGGTTAACTCCCGTTGGGAACGAAAGTGTTCTGCGTTGAAACAAGGTCAGAGATCAGGTAGCCACGCGAGCAATGCAAACACTGTCAAAATCATTATGATGGGACAAATAAGAAGCTCAGCTGTTTCATTTTGATATTCTCCTATGCAGCCGTTTTTTCAGGATATCGGGTGTTTCTTGAATATTGAACTCCAGCTATTACTGGCGAAAGTCGAAAAAAAATGTGCATGTGGCTTGGATGGGAGAAAGAACTTGACATCTTTTGAGTGGGACGTTTCTGGCTGGATAGTTAAAGGGTCTACACGATTTTAATAATCTTCTTCGTAGTCGTTTCACGGGATTTCACGCAAATCACCCTCCTTCCCGTCCCCCCTCCGGCTTTTCCCCTCTCCCTCTCTCTCCCCTCTCCCCCCTCCCCTCCGGCTTTCCCTATCTTCCTCCCTCCCCTTCCTCCTTTCCCACCTCTCTCACCTCTCCCCCCTCTGCCCCTCTCTCCCTCTCCTCTCCCCTCCCTCCCCTCTCCCCCTCTCCCCCTCTCCCCTCTCTCCTCTCTCCCCTCTCTCCTCTCCCCTCTCTAGCTTGCAGCAGGGGTTTCTTGACCCTTGCTGGGATAAGCTAAAATGAGGAAAGTAGTTGTGGGTTAGATAGATAGATCTAGATAGATCATTTCATTTATACACGGTAAATTCCACTTAAACTATATAATAATTGTAAAATACATACAAAGATTAAATGCCTAATCTAAACAAACTGTACTAACTTCTTAAAATAAAAAATAAAAGTACTACTTTTCGGGGACGCCGTGTCATTAGTTCACTCAAAACTGAAGTTACATAGTATTTCGACGAGACGAAATTGTGTCTAAAACGAATAAAAGCGAATCAACAACGACAGAAAAACTCATAAGTCCGACATCTGCGAGCGCTTAACAGAAAATAAAAAATTACCCTATTTCTTTTACGACCTATTGAATATATTTAGTAAAATTAAATTAAAAGCGTGCGGCATTGTTCGGCCTTCCCAACGAACAGCGCCACGCCAATCAACAGGCGTTCGTCGGAACACTTAGCTTCGTCTTAAACTCACCTAATGTTTTAGATACTCTATTATCAGTCGGAAGGCTATTCCACAACGCGGCACCGCTATAAGGGAAACTTTTACGAACATAATCGGTACGAGGTTGCGGAAGAGCCAGCCTCATTTCACTATTTCGCAATCTATAACTTGTAGTATCATTACGAAAGATGAATTTATTTGATAAATAATCAGGTGTCTGTCCATTTAGAATTTTGAACATCATAACGGCTTTGGCAAAAAGCCTGTGATTCCTTAGGTTTTTCCAATGAAGTCTAAGGAACAGGTCTAGAGCACTAGAATCATAAGGGGCGGACAACAAGAATACGAGCCGCACGGTTCTGCAGCTTCTGAAGTTTTTYGGCCAGACTTGTACTACAGCAATCCCATACTAAGCTGCAGTAGTCAAACTGGGGCTTTACCAAACCATTGAAGATGTTCAAAAGAGTGTAGAATGGTACAAAATCTCCGGCTAATGCGCTTAATTAAGCCCAAAGCCGAAGAAATTTTCTTACAAACAGTTTCAATGATATGAGCAAGTGGATATGAGCAAGTGTTTCTTCGAGTGGAACGTTCGTTGGCATTTCAAGAGATGACTACATGCGAAGGAGACGAATAGTTTCAGAGTGCCATCAGCAAAGCTTGCTAGTTTCACGGCGATAGCTGCTCAAATATCTCCCTCTAGCCCCAAGTAAAATTATTTCCCCCTGGATTTTCCCCATGGTTTATTCTCGACAACGCTACGGTACTTCTCACTTTGAATGATTTTTCAACCATCACATCATTTCCTTCCCAGTTATGCCCTAAATAAGTATAACGAACATGTACCACTTTGTCAAAGTTTTATTCGTATTCCCAAAAATTTAGAAATGCTGATCGTCCCGGCAGTAAAATCAGTGGTCGTCACTATAATGAAACCCCATCAAACAGCAGTCACTTGAAAAGCTGGGAAAATTACATTTGTTTGTGTTCTGTAAAAAATAAATTCGTCTTAGTAAAATGAAATTTGACACATTAAGATTACCACAGAGTCAAGCCCACAAGTCGTCTCCAACGAAGATTTTCAAATTCTTTTTAGTCTGCCACAAAAGAAAAGCGAAAGAGCGCGCGAACGTCCCACTGACAACCTGTATTCTCTCTCTCCCCCACTGAGTGTGAGTTTATAACAACCTAAGCAATTCCTGTAAATGGTCTTCTTTTTTTTACCTGTGTTTGTTTTTTATGTTTTGCTTGTTTTGTTTGTTTTGTTTGTTTTGTTTGTTTTGTTTCTTTTTTTGTCGCATATTCTCACATATGCAGAACTCTCCTGACCTGGCGGCAATCATTTCAAATTCGGCGATTGTTACAGGCGATTCTCAAAGCATTCTAACTGACGTAGATACCGTGCCCTTGAGTGTTTAGGCCCTTTAAGTTCAGAGAAGAATATTCATGTCATGTCCTTCCCGCTCTTTTGCGCTCTCCAAGCACTTAAAAGAAAACAAATTCTTGGTTTTGTTGGAAAGAATGGCCGACAAGACCAACTGAAAGCTACACAGGGGGACAATGGTAACAAGAGCTGGATACGGCTCGTCTCCGACTTGGCTCAACAAGGCAATGGCTATCGCGTACGTCAAAACTGTTGCAGACAAGTATTTTGAAGACCTGAAAAACATCTGAGAGAAGTTCGACACTATGCAGCCGATAATTATGTCGCCGGCTCCAAGATAGACGTATTCCTCCGGCAGTCCTAACTTAAATGTGAAAATAGTTGGAAGTTCCCAAGCATCACTGATCTCAAACGCTTTGCAAAAAACTGTTTCACAGTTTTTCTCTCCTTGCCCTGCGCTCAAAAGAGAAGGGACACCTTGATATACGTTTTTCACAAGACAGACATCATAGACCACTGCAAGCCACAGAAAAATCTGAAGCGATGGAAAACTTTTAAAGTGCACGTTACCACCAACAAGTAGCCCGAAAAAAGCGATTACAATGTCATTTAAGACCCAGCGAAATGTCGTGGTCCCGCTCATAAACCAGAGTGTAGAGAAGGTCCCTCCTACAAACAATGCTAGACGAGGTTGAAGCCATTGGTAAAATGTTACAAAAATGCAGAAAATCACTGTTATGTGTTGGAAAAAAATAATTAAAAAAGAATACCATTGGAAGAGAACAACAGAAGCTGCCATTGTTAAGAAGTATATCGTGTACAGAATAAGCAAACGCAATGATCCCTCACAAAATGACTCCGCTGTTTGTGCTCCTTCAGCCAATTTCTTTTCTTTGACAGGAGTAATAGGGTAATCACCAATTTCATCAGTTATCCTCCGCCGTGATATTTTTCCGTACCACGCGCTCACGAATACAAGGAAACTAGCTGTCAAGTCCAAAAGCCAGAAGTTAACAAGGTGGTAAGGCACGTGAGTTTCGTCCATCTTGTTAATTTACTGAAATATACTTTGAGCGAGAATTGCTGTGTATGACAAGTTTGTCATCGATGGCACTCCACACTCTAGGCGCTACGAAGGTTATTTACTCAAACAGTGTGTCTTGATGGTGAATTCACATCTATCGTTTGCATACCAATGTTCCCAGGCAACTTAAGCTCCTTTGGAACAATTCTAGTACAGTAAGACGCCACAGATTTCCATTAATCATAATACTAAGCACCTTTCGATTGACAAAGATTCCCTCAGCTTAAGATACCTCTTGTCAACAGATATGATGTGCTGGCTTACAATTTCCCTTGCAGTTCTTGTTTTTCTTTTTTTTTTCTTTTTTCATCTGTCGAACCGAAATTGAACAAAGAAGAAAAACCAACCAACCAATTTTATACATTCCAGGTAGAGCCCCATGTTTCCATAACCACTCACCAAAATTCATGCGTGGCCTTTCTCATTTTGAAAGACCACAATAGAAATCGGTAAATTAATTGGAGATGCTTACTTTTTCAACTGCGAAACTACCACTGCTTTCTATCCTTGAACTGTGCACTTAAAGACAAAGTTTAATAACTGTTTCTGATATAAAAATTACGTTGAACCAGAAAAATCACCTTGTATGACAAGTCAATCGTATTCCGTTTGACGGAACAATGTACTCATTAAAAGCCACATAAAAAGACATCATCCATTAAATTTATGTATATAATACAACTTATTTATGATGATTCGGGAGCCATTCTCGTCAAAATTACAAAAAATTAATTGGAGACAGTCATCAACCTGATACGAAATAAACGAGCCCCAGTTAATTTGAAATAGTTCACCTGAAGATGAACATTTCCATATTCTAATTACAACATGTTTCTTCTTTTTGTTGTTGTGTTAGTCTGTCGATGACTTTTTCTCCGAAATTTTGCGCAAATGATCCAGCCAAATATCTTAAAAGCATATCATCATGCGCTTTCATGACACCTGGACAAATGATATTAATACTTGAGTTATTCTAATAACTTTGATTGTGCGACTCCGAGAAATTATTACAGCATCATGACTGTACAATATCGTCGAAAACTTTACACTAAGCAAGCTAAATGTACAAAGTATTGGCTTATCGGAGTTTTTTTCCGGCTGAGCCAAGCAGCATTGTCCAATTCTACCATTCTTGTAGCGCTGCTTATCGTATCTGGAGTAGAATTTTGCACTCTTCTTTTTAAGGGGGGTACGGTGGGGGTTGTGGCGTCCCCTAACATGTAACATAGCCATTAACATCGAAACTTAGATATTTGTCTATGTTCGCAAAACAACTCTGTTATTTATTTATTTATTCATCTATTAATTCATTTCATTCTTTTTTTTATTGTACCTTTATTTCTACGGAAGGATGTTAGAAATCAATGTATCTACATCTTTCTCAGAAACTGAAGGCAAAACTGCCCAAGCTTACTTTCCAATTGTTTCACCGACATGAATTTGAGTACTTATAAGCAATGCCCGCAGAGTGACGAAAGTCTCTACCAACGGAGAATTTGTCGCTGTCTTGGTTGGACTTTAGGCCCTATAAAACTGAAAAGTCTGGAATATCCAAACGGCTCCTCTGAACAAGGCAACAGCGCATAATTATTCACTGTTGACAAAGAAAAATCCAATCGCTTTTCGTCTTATGCTGAAAGGGGAAATTTTAGGAAGGGCGTTAACTTAGGTAATCTGTTTCTCGGAAATCAGTCGATATAATATGAATGAAATAAGTTTACGCGGCTTGAAATTTCTAAAAACAGCACTTGTCTCGATGAGTTTCCTTTCCTATTCTGTCCAGACATGGTAAATTGACTGACGCTGTGTGATATGGCATTATCCTGTTCCTCATGCTGTTTAGCGTAACAGTATCCAACGCTGGGAATATTTGAAATCTCGATAGAGGGCTTCAGGTTGCTCCAAAAATCGGATGAACAGGAAAAGTCTTGTTCAAACTTGAGACAAATTGCAAAAAAAGAAAAAGAAAAAAATGTCTTGGTAGTTCAAAAACCCTATTTAACATCGACACCATTCCCCAAAAGGGAACATTTCAACTGAGATTGCCAAGCCAAACCGCATCTTGGCAACTTCGCCAGTCAAGCAGCCTAAAATGGAGTAAATTTCACAGGTACCAACGAGATAAAGCAGAACAGCGATACTGGGGCGCGTGTAAATGCGACTTACCAGTCGCCTGATAGGTCGAGAGCGATGCCCGAGTTTAAACTTTTTAGACTGATCTGACAGAGCACAGAAGAACGAATCCAATATAACCTGCAATTCTTAATTACTTTCGTCACTCACTGGAAGATTGCTCTATGGTTTACTAATCGCGCTGGAATCCGTAATTTTTATCAATTTTTGTTATTTTTATTGACACTAAATAACTAGATAACGACATCAACCCCTCGAATCTTAACTCGCTTTTATTTTTACCTAACCTAACATTAATCTACAATCCGCATGGCTTATAGCAAGTATAGTTTTCTCAGTATATTCAAAATACATTGTGCCAGTAGGGAAATTCAGCCGCCCAGCCCAATATCAGTCGCCGCAACCCACATGTTATAAATGAACTGCTTAGGTACAGATGATATTCCAGTGACAGTGCAACCCACGAGGTTACCAGACTGTATGATTTGGTTTCACCCCAACATACCTTCACTTCACCCACTTAAAAAAAGTTATAGATTATATTTCAGGTGATATCATCCTTCGATTATGAATGTGACACAATCTGTTGCTGTATTTTATTTCTTCTAGGTCAGAAGTCAAGGCTGATAAGTCTGCTAGGAACTTCCAACATTCCACATTGGTCTCATGACCCGCTTATGAGCTTGAACAGACTTTCTCCCATGCATTTAAGGCAATACTTATAGCCTCACCCACCACTTTTAAATCTCACCCACGTCTATCAAGCACTTGAAAGGATAATAATTGTTTCAGATATTTTTTGCCATCGCCAAAACAGAGACCAATACCGCGAAAAGCCGCCAACTACCGGTTCGCCTTATTATGCGACATGATTTGCATTACATCTGTTGGAAGTTCATTAGACGGACGAGAGAGCCACTCAAGGTGATGACTTCCCACGATCTTCCACAGACCACTAACGAGACATTCCAATTCCAATTTCCTTTCGGTGTGTGGGAATAACTTTAGGTTAAGTCTTGGTCTTCCTGCAAAGCCGAACTAACTACTTAAACGTTCACGAAATGTGTTTCCTTTTGTGGTTCATTTACTTTAATGATCAAGGGATTCCGTCAGTCGACTGTCGGACTAAATCTGCAGCTGACAGTGACACGGTATAAATGGTGAGAATGGGTGGGCAGCTTTGAATGAACTTCATTATTCGACTCACAAGAGCGGTCTGTATTTACTTGGGCGAAGACTACTTCCAAATGTCTGCTATCTACATCCGAAAATCAGCCAACTAAGGGAAGATAAATTGACGTTTATAAAAACTGAAAAGTGATGTGATTTTATTTTCCAGTGACAAAATGAAATGTGTTCTCACGAAAACCTCAGCCTATGATATATTCTCTAAATATTCCAAAGGTTTCGTCAGTTTCAATCAAAAATTAAGCTCGATGATTGACTTGGATTCTGGAGAAACTTCCGTTTCTTTGTCAAAGCCAGTCACAAAGTAATTCTAATCCTTCTCTTTTATCTGATACAACAATCGACAACAAAAACTGTGAACAATATATATATCATATCTTGACCCGTGGACAATTGCCAAGCCTATCTTAAAAGTTTCATGGTTGACTTTCGTAAGGATTTCGGAAGAACTTCCGTTTCTTTGTTGAGGTCAGTCACAAAGCAATCATTATCCTTCTCTTTTATCTGATACAACAATCGACTACAAAAACTGTGAACGACATATATCATATCTTGATCCGTGGACAACTGCCAAGCCTATCTTGAAAGTTTCCCAAGTCAAACCTTTGCTTTCGTTCCAAACCAAAAATAGAAGTTTCGAAACGCAAACAGGAAGTCGTCTCAGCGGGGTTTCGAAAGCAAGGTTGGTCATAATAACAATTTTGTCAGTATTGGTCCCGTTTAAAAATAAAATACATCATTTCATTAACCTTCTGCCGACCCTTTTTGCACCTCGACCACTTCGCCCTTCCGTTACAGCGTGCCTGGAGGGTCATCAAGTACGCGGCCTTCTGAGCACTCGCCGCTGCCCAGCCCAGTCTGAAAGCTTTTGCGGAGGTGTTCATATCCTCCAGCTTAGTTAGTCTGCATCTATAGGATGAACCTAAAGGGTTGCGGAGGCTTACATTTTTTCACGTACCTGGCTGATGTCGGGCAAGCAAATTCAAATTAGGTAAAAAGAAAAATTGGCCGGGAAACATTTCAAAATCCATTGAACCTGACCTTTGGTTTCAACCGGAAGAGGGCCTCATGAATAATAGAGCAAGTGCACTTTAAATGATCCTAAGAAACCCTCTCGCAAATCAACAATGAAATCAAAATGCATCGATTTTCCACGAGGTAAATGGAGGAGGGACATGTCAAAATGTTGATAACTTCAGATTAACGGAAAAATTAATTGATTAGTTGATTTATTTGAAGAGAAGTTACGCAGTCTTGAAGCGTAGTTATTAGAAACAGATGACAGGAATATGATTTTAAATAAATATCTCACCACCTAAATGTACTTGCGCTTTCTAAACGCGGAAGGGAAAGGCTAGAAATTCAAAATTATAAAGTCTTTGAAGATGAAGCAATCGCAGATTTCGATTAAAACTCTTTGATGCACACCACCAAGTTTGAAAACTATCACTGTGCTTCAGCTCTTTGTCGATCAAATTGATTCTCAAAGACGTGCCCGGATGTCCTTCCTGCAGTCTGTTTCTTTGAAATTTTTAAAGACGACCTTTAGCAACATTGGCTTGAACGCGCTTAAACTGCACCTACACCTTTTGTTTTCTAACTTCTTACCTCGCGATAATGGTCAATACTCTTGTTTTTGTTCTTTTCTTTTCCTTTCTCTTTTTTTAGTTCCCTGGTGGATTACAATAGATGGGGTGTAATATCTGAATCCTCTCAGTTTTGTCGGGAAGTGGTATTACCTTATATTGTTTGCCGATTTGTTCTCAGAGGAAAAGAAAACCTTGAATGGGCGATGTAAACCTTGAGAAATTACCTTTTCCTGTTGATAGAGTTACTGGCTCATCTGATTTGTTATGAATGCGGGGCAATCTCGTGAGATGAGTGTGAATCTTAAAGGATTATTCCCTTTTCAATTTCGCTCTCCCTTAACACGTTTGCAAGATACTTTCCAAGAATCGCGATGAGTTGTTGGTTGTAACGTTGAGTGCGTGACAGAATGTCAATATTTAACACTCCGCTGAGAACTGAAAGAGCATTACGTGCTTTCAGATTCACACAGATCTTCACGACATTACTTTTTAAAAAGCTGATAGATACGTTCAGCAGGGATGAAAGTTTACCTGTGACCTTGTCTGTGATATGTCATTTTGCTCTTCAAATCTTACTCTCACACGCTGACATTATCAAGCAATCAGTGACGTGTTTACTTACGTTTCTGCTTCCGTCCGCGCCCATTGAGTGGTTGCTCAATTGTCGGTACTGTGACGGTGCATAGAGTGCGGTCATTATCTCTATCTGTGGGAGAAGTGTGTTCCTTGACGCTTACGCGAATGTTCAACGAGAGCATTTCGATTCAAGAACCGGGAAAACTCCTCTAAAGTGTACTAAGCCTTAGCGGGTTCATTCTCGCGAAGACTAGGGACACAAAATCGTTTTAATTTAGCCCTCGCCTCAATTTTCTCAATGGCACGTTTGCGGATGCAGATTGCGGCTTATGTAGCCACTCTTGTCCTCTTTGTGCAGTTTAGAGGTGAGTGGTTCAGCTGATTGTTCAATTATCCAGCAGTTTGCATTGTGTACCTGTAGATATCGGCTAAAGATGTCATGATGAATGGCTTCACCGTAGTTGACGCTATTCTAACGGAGCGTGCACGGATTTCTACGGGTGAATAATACAGCAAATTAAAAGCAATTATTATTCACGCTATCTCATTACTAAGGAATAAAGTTAGGACATTATGATTTACAAAGGTTATTGCACTTGTGCCTTTTATTCCTTTTATTTCCATTGTTCAAACTCACCCTTCGATTTCACTCTCTTATCGGCGTGAAATGTCATGCTATGCCGAGCCTAAAGGGCAAATTTTTATGGGCTGCTACTTTCAAAGTCAACGTCAATAACAGCATATTTCTTGAATTATTCATCTATCTACTGGTGAACTAATTGCTGCTCCACAGCTGTCTCCAACACATAATAGATTATTTCTGTATGAAAATTTCATTACCGTTTTGGATCCTCCTACGAATCCGGACAGTGTTAGCTATTTCACAATGCCACTCGCCATTTGCAAATTATTGTTTTGAAACTTTCAGTGTCTGCGTTTTACAGCGTTAGACAAACTTTGCGTGTTTTTACTTCCCTTCAACTTCGAGTAACAATTCTCGACATTCCACACATGTATATTCATTTTATTACAGCACAGATAACAAGCTAATACTAAAAAACGTTTCACGAACCTTCGGCCGAGATAGCAAAGCTAATAATTCCAAACACAAATTTCCTTAGAGCTCTAAATGTAGCAGGATGTGAGGTTTTACAAACGCTTCAGCACTACTGTAAAAGCTTCCTTTGTTTTTTTTTTTTTTTTTTTTTTTGCATCCAAGAATAATCTATTTTTTTATGAAACATCGTATCTTACAAAGAGGCTTTCCGATTCTTATTCAGCAAGAAGATATGTAAAAAAGTCGATCACGGTAGCAGATAGCGGTACTTAATTAAAATTGACTGACGCATGCTATCCGCACGTGATAAATTTTACGTTCGAGTGATTTTGACATCCGGTGGATACTTCACTTATTTAATAGAATTATCTCACGGTATTAGCGAATTGCCTGGGTTTTTTTGCAGTTTTCGTTAAAGAACTTATTGCACGTCTCGTTTGTACCTCTCTGGACGGTAATTACCACGAAAAAGTTTTTAACGAAACCCATTATGAATTGCCTTAGGCGGAATTTTCGTCCGGTAACAGACCAAACATGAATCTCCTGTTCTGTTTGCCAATGTTTTCAGTTAGTAATTTAAGGCAAAAATAAGAGAAGAGAAAATCGCCTCTAGCAGTAATTTCCTTTTCATGTCACCACTGCGTAAAATTATATATAATTTTTGCGAATTCTTCTATTTTAATTGACTTAAAACAAATATTTCGAAGAAATTGCCTCAATTGGCAATGGGGCTTGTTCACTTCCCCCACATAATTCAAATAGAACTTGAGTCAGATATTAATTTTTTATGTCATCACCATGCTAGCAGAACACTCAATGAACTTTATTTAAGCCAATGACACTTCTTATTCAATGCATTTTCAGAAAGGAAAATTAATAAAATTAATGATAGCAGAAGTTTTTTTTTAAACTTTTTATCCTGTAACGTTTTACTCAGGTTTACTTGTAATCTTGGGGTTTGAAATGTATGCATAATTTGAGAGAGATCAAGGAGAAATTCATATATTTTACCTGGCAGCATTTTTGGTTTGGTTTTCATGATGATTTCTGATTAGTATGAAATGATAAATTTAAGCAAATTTGGGTAAAAATTTGTAGCTCACATCCCACTTGCATCGCTAACATGGTACACTAATTTTCAAGAGGGAGAAGTTCTCGTCTTTTTAATTAAAAGTTTATGTGTGGATTTTAAAATTTCTGTAAACCCTAGATGTGATAAAATTAAGATTGTTCTTTAATTATTAGCAGTAGGGAAGCTTCTCACAAGATATTGTTTGGCATTTTGCTTATGTCATTGGTGTAAATATTCATAAGAGCTCCTTTGAAAACAACTCAAGTGATTATATCTATTTGCTGTAAAATGAAGCCAACATGTTCAATGAATGTAATATGGTATGTTGATTTTCATAAAAGTAGACTCATGAAATTACATTACCCTAGTTGCAATGGTCTGCAAAAAGACAATTTCATTCTTTTAAAATTATGAGATTGTACTTCTTTTTATCTGTGGAACTATTATTCTAAATTGTAAAAAAAGCACTCATTTGACAAAATTTTCATGTTTCCTGAATATTTTCTAGAAATTCAGAGGCAAGTAGCTAAGTTTTATTCTGAACCAGGCATAAAAATAGGCTGATAGATTTAATTAAAGAGGGAAAATTAATTTGCAGCTTCTAACTTCAGAACAATCACCTGCTGTTGAAAGAGTTTAAAAAGTTCATTGTTAATTAAAATAAGATTTCTATCTTCAACTACGGGATCACTTAAAAGATAATTAACACACATGCTGGGTCTTCATATTTGTCAAGCAGAACCTTAAATGAATTGTGGAAATAAATTATATACTGTCAAAAACTTTTCCTTGATTACTGGGGTAACCCTGAATAACTTCTTACGTCTGAACTATGTGCTAACAGAATAATGATCTGCATAACAACTGACTTGTGAAAGCAATCAGCTCAAAAAAATGAATGAATGAATGATCTTGACAGTTTCCTCCAGGGAAAAGAAGTTGTGAAATTTTGTGACGATGTGCAAATGATCTAATATACTATGGTAAAACACAAGCATCTCAACTTGTCTCTTGTTATTATAAAAGAGCATTATGCTCTTTTAACAGTTTTACTCCCAATAGCTCCTATGTTATTTTTTAATTACTGTCTACCATACAATTTTCATGATATTATGGTTGGGAGAATTTGGTTTTGGATCAACCAATAATTCCTTAATTTACATTTTTCTTTATTCTCATTAATTGTCTGCTTGACACTGTATTGATATTGTAAGGAGAAATTCTGTCTTAATTACTCATGGGAGTTAAAGGTTGAAGACAGAATTTGAGCTCAGTTTTTTCCCTTTCCCTTCAATTGAATTATTTATAACAAGTGCAAAATTTTTTGAATCATGAAATGTTTTAACACCTTTTCAAAAATCCATGTACAAAAAGCACATCCTAACTTGAGACTTTTGGATGATTTTCGTTATTATCAAGGGTACCATATTAACATCATCGTTATAATTTTTATCAGTATTATTTATGTCGTTTTTTCTATGTAGTTGATCATTTTTTGTTAATTGGTTATGATAATGTTTTCAGGAGGATACCAGTATTCCCTAGCAAATCCTCGCAACCGCCTGCGTTACTTTGTTGCTATAATTGGATACTCTGTAGATCTAGATTGTCAAATGGATGATCCTTACGTCAGTGTTTCTCTAAAACAAGCAAAAGATGGAAAGGAGTTTGAAAGGATTGTAGATGGAATCAAAGTTACACAGAGTGGACAGATATTTACCATTAACAATGTTGAAGAGTCTGATAAAGGAAAATATTCCTGCAAAGTTAAAAGAACTTCTATGAGGATAGAGCAACTTTATCCTGGGAAGGATGGAACAGGTTAATAATATTAATACTGATACACACTTAACTATCCTGCTCTCCACATTTACAATGTTTTTTACTGCATTAAATGGTTTTTACTAATTTAGAACAGACTCCCCTAAACAGATGTCAACAACTACCCGCTCCATACAAACGACTCATTCACGACATAAACATCACAAACGACCGAAAAAGAACGACCTAACTTTACCGACAGATCGAAACAGACCAATCACGACTGACTTACACCACTTGAGTCTTACAGCCAATAACATCACGGCAAAACCAACCGATCATTTCACACGAACTGGAATAAGAACATTCTACTGACAACAATCATTCACTTGACTCTGATGATGACTTCCGCACAGGTTGTCGAAACGTGAGTCACTACCACCGACAACAGTCCTCAGGACTACACTCACCCGGACGATCAGACTACACCTTCAAATGTTTTTTACATTGTAAAACGGTGGTAATTAAGGTACATATAAAATGCCTTATTAAATAATTAACTTTTTGACTGGCCGTTTTAACCATTTAGGAGTTTTATTTTAGCTGAAATTGTAATCTAAATGTGTTTAGTAAAGGTTAAGTCATCTATAGGTTGTCTGACAATAGAGGCATGATATGCTCTGAATTGAGTCTGGACATGTTTTCCACCCCCACCCCCACCTCCACCCCCCCCTAAAATGTTTTTTGTAGTAATCTTTATCTGGATTTTTTTCACAGGAAGTCACATCTCACTTTCTATATTTCCAACCAATACTACAGCAAAAGAAGGAAGACGTGTCAGTTTCACCTGCAATGTTACTGGAAAAGGCATAAAAACTGTGGAATGGTATAAAAACAAAAAGAGAATTTC